CACTCTTTCTTTTGATTTTGAAAGTTCCTGGAAGTCATCTCATGTTTTTGGTTTGCTAGTGGCAGTTGAGATGAAACAGATGAGAAGTTTATAATTTGTGCTAGCAATTTTATGAGTTTAAACTTCTAGTTATGTGTTTAAGGAGGCTACAACTCATTGACCTCCGTAAAATGAGCATACTAGACCCATATGCTTAGTCCTGCAAGATTTGTGAAGTATATAAATAACTAAATCTTAGTTTCTCTTGTTGTGCACATCATGAGGGCGTTTCGGAAATATGGTAGCGGAAAAGAATCTTTTTTGTCCATACTCCATGCAGATAGCAGAAATAATTTTCCATCTTGCTTTATAATGGCTCCATGTTCTTATTTTCACGGATTGAGTTTTCTTTCATCATTTTGCATGATGCTGCATCTATTTATGCGGTAATTATTCACAAGTTAATAATAGTAACCAATAAGAGGAGGTTTACAACTCTAGTGAGTTTTAAATTCCCTGCATATTTTAGTCAATGAATTGCTCGAGGAAAAGGGCAGAATCGTTCAACTTTAAGGTTCCTGTTATTTGAAAGAAAAAAAAAAGAATCTTTTTTTTTTTTTAATTTTGAAACCTTGCAAGTGTAGCAGTCCCTCTTACTTGTTGTTCTTTATTGTTCTAGTATCTATAAATTGTACTTCTTTTCATGTAGTGTTCTGGCCTTTATGCGTTTGAGATGTTAAGTTTGGTTTAGGAATCTCTGACTTTGACTAATCCGGGCGCAACTTTTGCTTACAAACAGGTAGTTTATATGGCGATTGTTGGATCCTTCCCATTCAACTCTTTCCTTTCAGGAGTGCTTTCTTGTATTGGGACAGCAGTCCTTGCTGGTAAGCAGACTTCATCTACTATAAATGCGAAAATTAGAATTCATATTCCACCAGAATGAGGCTGAGATATTATTTGTCTTCTGTGTTTTTAGTTTGCCTTCGCATCCAAGTGAACAAAGAAAACAAGGAATTCAAGGTAAATAAATCTTTTCCTTCTTGAACTCCTTATCTCTCCACTGTGAGAAAAGAAACTATGTAACTCCATAAAAACACTTTCTACAGCATTGCTGTAAGCATACAACAACAACAAGCCATAATCTCAACTTAATTGGGGTCGGCTATATGGATTTCACTTTTTCACGCAACTCTATTCGAAATTAAACTTTCCTGAAAGCTTAGATCTAGTATGTCTTTCCTAACTACTTCGGTCCACGTAATTCTTGGTATACCCCTCCCTCTCTTAGTATTAAGTATAAGAATGTCCTCCCAAGCACGAACTGGTGCTTCTAGCGGTCTATGTTGGACATGTCCGTACTACCTCAAGCGGCATTCGCGTACCTTATCTTCTATTGGTACTACACCTACTTTACTATGAATAACTTCATTCCTTATGCGATCCATTATCGTATGGTCACTCATCCATCTTAACATACGCATTTCTACCACACTCATCTTAGATATATGTTGTCTCTTAATGGCCCAACATTCACTACCATATAACATAGTTTGGTGGATTACAATCCTATATAACTTTTCTTTCAACTTAATAGGCATCTTGTCATCACATAAAACTCCCGTAGCACTCTTCCACTTAAGCCACCATGCCTTAATCCTATGTTGAATATCATATTTTATATCTCCATATTGCACTATACACCCAAGGTCTCTAAACTTCCTAGAAGCCTCAATCTACACACCATCTAAATAAATTACATCACTCTGATTACTTGAGTTACTAAACCTACAATGCATGTATTTAGTTTTCGTGCTACTTAACTTAAATCTCTTCGTCTCAAGAGTCTGTCTCCACAGTTCTAACTTACGGTTAACTCCTTCCCTATGTTCATCAACTAAAACTATATCGTCCGCAAAATGCATATACTAAGGAACTCTATCTTGGATTTCTCTTGTCAACTCATCCACCACAATGGTGAAAAGATAAGGACTCAGAGCAGATCTTTGATGAAGACCGATCCGAATGGGGAACTTTGCCGTGTAGCCTCCAGCAGTTCTCACACTCTTGACCACCCCATCGTACATGTCCTTAATTACCTTGATATACCTCACATGCACTCCTCTCTTTTCTAGCACCCACAATAAAACTTCACTCGGCACCCTATCATATGCCTTTTCTAAATCTATAAAGACCATATGTAGGTCCGTCTTGACTTCTCTGTACCTTTCCATCAGCATCCTAAGAAGAAAAATGGCTTCCATGGTTGATCTGCCTGGCATGAAACCAAATTGGTCCTGAGATGGTAGTTGTGACCCTTAATCTCCTTTCAATAACTCTCTCTCAAAGTTTCATAGTGTGGCTTATTAACTTTATGCTGCTATAATTGTTACAATTCAGCACATCTCCTTTATTCTTGAAGATAGGGACAAGAATACTTTTCCTCCATGCATCAGGCATATGCTTCTTCTTAAGTATCTCATTAAAAAGCTTAGTGAGCCACACAATTCCAACATCTCCTAGCGCCATCCAAATCTTTATTGGAATATCATTTGGCCCACATGCCTTTCCCTTTTTCATTTTATGTAGTGCAGTTTTAACTTCTGAGACCCTGATTCTTTTTTTATACATCACATTAGGTTCTCCTTGTGACCTAAGATCGTCAAACTCTATCGCATGATCATCATTATAAAGCTTTTCAAAGTAACTCCTCCACATTTTCCAATGTCTTTATCTTTTGTCAGAACTTAATCCGTATCATCCTTAAAACACCTCACTTGATTTAGGTCCCGATACTTCCTTTCTCTTATCCTAGCTAGTTTTTATATATCCTTCTCTCCTTCTCTAGTCCCAAGCTTCTTATATACCTCATCTAAGTAAGTAGAACGAGCTACCAACTGCTCGCTTAGCTTGAGCATAATAATTCTATCCCCTATTCGCTTAATCTCAACTACGTCATTCTTCACAGTTTTGTCCACTAGAATACCAACTCTATTGCAATTCCTTTCCCAACCTATATAACATAACTTGTGTCTTAAATTTTCAATCTCCTTTGCTTTCCCTCCTGTCCAATAAAATATTAATTCTTCTTCTTACCATAACATCTACTAACCCCACAGATCTACCAGTTAAAGAACTTACATTCCAACTACCTAAACGAATTTTTCTATCATGGGCTAGCTCTGCCCCTTGCACACGTCCATGAATGTGCAAGGACCATCCTTGCATATTTTTCACCATATCCGGGGCCCGACATGGCGCATGGGCTCGTTTTTCCGCCCGCACACGTCCATGAATGTGCGAAGACCTCCCTTGCTTATTTAACACTATACCCGGGGCCTGACATAGCGCGTCGCACGTAGGGAACGCCCCAACAGATTCCATGTAAGGGGAATCCATGAGAGGGACTTATTTTTACGATGGCCGTCAACCTACCGCAACTTTCTTCCTTTACCTGGGCTTAGGACCTATACAGACGCATAGGTAGAGTTGCGCTGTAAGCATATTAGGCATAATTTGTATTGGATATTTTAGCGTACGCCGAAAGGATGTGGGTAAAGAAATTTATAGAACTTGGGGTAGCCTTTGGAACTTTAAAAATTATTCAAGTGGTTGAGGCTATTTTCATTCCCTTCAAGACTTATAGAAGAGAAGAAAACAAAGCAAACGGAAACTGCCTTCCATTTGCTTTAAAATGTTTCATAGTTTATTTTTAAGGTCTCACGGCTCATATTCTCTCCCATTTATATGCAGGATTTACCACCCGAGAGAGCTTTTGCAGATTTTGTTCTCTGCAACTTGGTGCTCCATTTGGTTATAATCAACTTCCTCGGATAATTAAGCATCTTTAGTTACTGTTGTAGGATTGAAAATCAGACAACTATCAAAATTATATGCCTCTTTGATACAATATTCCTAGTTGGCACATTTGTGGAGCTCATGATGTATGAAATCGAACTAAATTATCGGTCGAGAATTTTACATTGATGGATACATTATATTAAAACAGGTTTTTCTAGTTTTCAGCATCAAAGTCTGTTGCTTGGTGAATGTCGAATCATTGATTTGTCACCGTTGAAACACTGTTCTAAACAAATTTTATGCTCTCTTGGTCAAAAGTTTCTTACTTTATTGAACCGTGGTGCTTTTTAAAACCTCAACTATAGATATAAACCTGAGCAAAAACCTTCATAGAACAGAAGGCGACAAATACCGTTAACCACTTTTACTAGTCAGGATTGAATTCAGGTTTTAGCGCGAGTTGCCTCCTCTTTCTTTGTGGAATGTGATAGCAAATTCTATTTGACCATTTGACATCAGCAAAGCTAGCGGTAAAGATGGACATGAAACGATGGGGTTATTTATTTATTATGTATTATTTATTTATATTATTATTATTTATTTGCCACGGTTTTGTCAATACTATTTCTTCAGGAAAATATGTCAAGACTTAAGATGAATTAAAATTAATAGGTCAATAGTTTACATAAATAAATAGGTTAAATTATTGTTTTTATTCATAACTTGTCTGGTTATGAACCATAACTTGATAAGTTATTGTCCATTAGTGCTGAAATTTTGGACAGGCCGCCCGTGACCACCGAAAAGTCTAAATTTTTGTCCGATGACCGAACCCGATCTGCTTGAATATTCAGGCTGCCCAAACCGACCTGAAAATTACCATGAACGGACTTCGGGCAGAGGATGCCTGCCCGTGCCCGGTCGGGTTGCCCGATGCCCGACCGGCTGCCCGATTTTTTTTTTTTATATTATATTTTTATGTTGTTGAAATAAGT